ACTAGAGAAATAAGAAAGGCCAAAATTTGGCATTAGAAAAAATAGAGACTCAGGAGACAAATAGGTATTGAAGGGATTGAAATGGAAGTCGAAGCCCTTCACTCCTACACAAAAGTGGTCCCAGTGGCTTTACTGGTGAGTTCTACCAGATGTTTGAGGGAACGATTAATTTATATTGATACACAAATTGTTCCAGGAAATATGGAAAGAAAAAACACTGTCAGGTCGCTTCGAACAGTACTGTAATTTTGATTCTGAAATAAAATAAGGAAAATAAATAATAAACAACAAAGCCCCCTTTTACTTGTGAACATAGACGAACTCTGATGAATGAAAATAAAAATGAACTAAATAGATGGAGAGAGATTCTGTGTCCATGGATAGAAAGACTCAATAATGTCAGGAGGTCAAGTTCTTCCCTGCTTTATCTACCTATTCGAAGTGATCCCAATCAAAGTCCTAGCAAGTTATTTTGTGGATATCAACAAAATTAATCTGTAGTTTATACAGAGAGGTAAAAAATACAACATAGTCAACATAATATTGGGAGTCTAGGAGAACAGAGTTGGAAGACTGTTGGACACTACCCAACTCCGAGACTTGCTATAAAGCTGCAGTAAACAAGACAGTGTGGCATTGAGGAAAGAATGGACAAATAGATCAATAAAAAGCCCAGAAATAGACCCAAGTAAATACAGTCAACAGATCTTTGACAAAGTACCAAAGAAAATACAACGGAGCAAATATAGTCTTTCAACAAATGGTGCCGGAACAACTGGACATCCATGTGCAAAAACAAAAACAAAAACAAAAACCTTTCTAGACCTAAATGTGAAGTGCAAAGCTATGGAACTCTTAGAAGATAACATAGGAGAAAAGCTAGATGAACTTGGGGATGGTGATGACTTTTTAGATACAATATCAAGGGCACAATCTGTGAAAGAAATAATTGATAAGATAGATGTCATTAAAATTAAAAAAATAAAAACTTCTGCCTCATAAAAGACAAATGTCGAATGAGAAGACAAGCCATAGACTGGGAGAAAATATTTGCAAAAGACACGTCTGATACAGGACCATTATCCAAACTATACTGAGAACTCTTAAAACTCAACAGGAACGAGACGAACAGCTCCATTAAAAAAACAGGCAAAAGAACTCAACAGATACCTCATCAAGAAGATACGTGGACACCAAATGCAGGTGAACATGTGGAGCAGCAGAAATTCTCACTCGTTGGTGATGGGCATGCAAAGTGGCATAGAAGACGCAGCCACTTTGAAACAGAGTTTGGCAGTTTCTTAGAAAACTAAACATATTCTTACCATGTGACCCAGCAACTGCAGTCCCTGGTGTTTACACAAAGGAGGTGAAAAACGTATGTGCACACAAAACCCTGCACGCGGATGTTTACAGCAGCTTTATTCATCATTGCCGAAACTTGGAAGCAACCGACATGCCCTTCAGTAGTTGAATGACTACACCAACTGTGGTCCATCCAGACAATGAAATATTATTCAGCACTGAAAAGAGAGGAGCCATCAAGGCATGAAAAGACATGGAGGAACCTTAAATGCATGTAACTAAATGAAAGAAGCAAATCTGAAAAGGCAACTAATATATGACTTCGATTTTATGACATCTTGGAAAAGGCAAAACTATGGAGACAGTAAAAGGATGAGGGGTTGGCAGAGGAAGGGATGAATACATGGGGCACAGAGGGGTTTTTAGGACAGTGAAATTACCCCGTATGATACCATAGTGGTGGGTACATGTCATCATACACTTGTCCACATGCATAGAATGTACAACACCAAGAGGGAACCCTGATGTGAGCTGTGGACTTTGGGTGATTATGACATATCAGCATAGATTAACCAGTTGTGACAAATGGACCACTCTGGGGGATTGTTGATATTGAGGGACACATGTCGTGTGTGGGCGCACAGCTACGTGGGAAGACTCTGTACCTTTCTCTTAAATTTGCTATGAACCCAGACTGCTCAAAACAAAAAAGTCGTAAGAAAAAAAGCAAAGACCCCCTTTACTTATAACAGATGCTTAAGTATTAGCGGATTCAAACAATTATATATATAATCGTTGTGTAAAGGGGAAAAGCATATACTTATCTGAATCTAGAATTGAAGGGAAATTCCTTCTCGCAATAATGGTTATATGATTAAAACCTATAGCAAACGCTGTACTTCATAGAGAAACCAAAATACATTCTTCTTAAGATGAGGTAGAAGGCAAGAATTCCATTAATGTACTGCTGTTTAACCCAACACCACAGGGCCTGGTCAGTAAGTGTATAAAAGATGTATGTTATAAATGTATAAATATCTAACTGGAAAAATCAAATTTATAGGCTTAATAAGAAATTCAGCCGGATTGGCAATTACGAGAGTAAACTACAAAAATCAATATTATTTTCAACGCATAATAACCATTCAGTAACTGTGCTAAATAAGAATACCATGCATATTAGCAACAAAAATGTATAAAAATACAGAAGTTATTTTTAACGGGAATACATAAACCATTTTATTGAGGAAAAAATTTATAGTAAAGGGTGTGGAAATCAAATAAAATCAGAATAAATTTGAGACATTTAATGCTCTCAAATGTGTTTCTGTAATATTATAAAATATTTAATTCTCAAATTAATCTATGAATGAAAACATTTAGTTTGGTTTTTATGCTGATACGCATTCAGAAGTTTTAAGGTTCACTCTTAGCTAAGTCAGGCTTCTAAGCGACGACTAAGGAAGGGTGATTTGCCCAGCCAATCACCACCACACAACGCAGCCTCAGCGGAGTCAAAACTGTGGTACTGGTCCCCAAACAGAAGACCAGTAGAACAGAAAAGAGAACTCAGTGACAAACTCATGTAGGAATGTCACAGGAAATAAATTTAGCACTTTGAGTTACTGGGGGTAGGAAAAATCGTTTGACAGGTAGTTTTGGGAAACTGAGTCACCGGATAGAGAAATATAAAAGTAGCTTCCTTCCTAACTGCGCAAACAGAGGTGGGTTCCAGGTGGATTAAAGGCTCGGAGGGGAAAGGTTAAACCTTCGAAGGTGTCTTCTGTCCTGTTCCTCTTCCCCACATGGTCATCTAAGTGGAAGTTCAAGGTCTCCGGGGTTCCAAAGAAACCCTGAGGAGTAAAGCCTTCCGAGGGCTTCTCATTTCGCTTTGTTTTGAGGCTGTACACTTGTTTTCCTTAAGTATCTCTTAGTAAAGAGCTTTAAAAGACTAACAGAGATTTTATCTGGCGTTTTCTTTTTTGGGGGGGTGGGGGGAAGGCAGGAACATTACTCAGCCAGGAAAAGGAAAGAAGTGTTGACACGCGCTACAACATGATGCACCTCGAAAACACTAAGCTGAGTGTAAGAAGGCATGCAGTTATATGAAATGTCCAGAATAGACAGACCTATAGAAACGAAAGTCAGTGGTGGGTCCTCAATGAGGGGGCAGTGGGTGAGGGGGAGAATGGCTGCTAATGGATATGGGTCTCTTTTTGGGGTGATCAAAATATTGTACAACTAGATAGCATTGGTGGCTGCGCAACGTTGTGAATATGCTAAAAACCCTTGAATTGTTCACTTTAAAAGAGTGAATTTTATGATATGTGACTTATATCTCATCGTTTTTATTTTAAAAATGGAAGTGAAAGCAACCCACAGAACTTTTATCTGTTGCCAGAGGAGTTGCTGACGTTTTGTGATCCCATGCTTTCTTGAAATAATTGCTACTTTAAATAGATTCAGCCGCTGGAAGCACAGTTTACCCGTCTTGTGTGTGAAAACCCCTGTGTTTTGGCGTCTGAGTGGGGCTGGCGCTTGTAGACATACTTAAGTTTTATTTGCAAGGCCTCCCGAGTGTAATTCCTCCTGTGAGCATCTGGGCCCTTTTTGACTCTGTGCAATGAATCAGACGCACCTGTATATTATGTGACCTGGGAGAAGCTAGTTCACCTTTTTGGAACCTTAATTTCCTTTCCAATATCTACTTCTTGGTGCCGTGAAGACTCAATGAGATAATGGATTTTAAATGCTTTGCATAGTGCCTGGCCTGATAAGGGCTTCACTTAATGTTGGCTTCCTGTCTGATTAAAGTACATTCCTTACAGGCCAGGGGTCACTCAGCTCTGTCCTGGCTTCCCGCCCAGCAACAGATGGCTTCTAGAAATAACCCATTGGTGCGGTAGATTTTTTCTTTTTATCCGTGTGTCCCTCGCTGTGCCTCTTCTAGTGCCTGGCACACTGTAGGTGCTCAGTGAGATGACACAAGCCTTTTACACAGATGTCCCAGCACGTTGCGGACAGAATTGCGGAATATCCGCATTAGTGTGTGACAAGGGAGCATGGTTACTGTTCCTTTGGAGGTTGTGTGACTTCCAGTTGTGCCGAGAGGCAGAAAGCTTGATTAAATGTCACACTTGAGGAGAGTGACGGCTGAGTCCTCCATCCTCCATTAAGGTTTTCACCTCCTGCTTTCCAGTTAAACTTTTCAGGATCGCCCCTCATTTATAGCATCATCTTTTAAAACGCAGTAGTGAAATGCTTCCGCAACGCCAAAGGCCTTGTCACCCACGGAGCAGGCCCAGGTTTCCATTGGCTTTGGAAATGTTTTCCTTACCATGAGGCTGTCTCAATGCGTATATTTAGTTCAGTCTTGCGGTCTTTCTTCATCCTTTAAAACCTCGAATGAGTACTTCATGACTGGGTCGATCTCTGAGCCGCGGCTCCCAGAGTCTTCAGCTGTCCCGGCGGGAACTGCCCTCTGTGTAGATGAAACGATTCACGGTTGTCTTTGAGGAAGTCCCAACTGCTGAGATCAATGCAAAAGGAAATGCTCTCCTGCCTTGTTTTTTTCTTCCCAGGAAATAGAGAGGTTGGCCACCTGAAACCGGACACTGCAGCCTTCATTCTGGGTTCTGAGCAAAGCCAATTAAACCTATAGACATCTTATTCTGTGCCTTCTCTCCCACGTCTAGGAGCGGAAAAAGAAATTCGAAAAGGATGGCGAGAGGTTTTATTCTTTGCTGGATCGGCATTTACATCTGTCTTCCAAAAAGAAAGAATCTCAGTTACAGGAGGTACGTTCACAAAGGTGGTCCCCACCTTCCACTGCCAGCTGTGTGTGCCACGCTAACGGTGCCGGCTTGCTATGGCAAAGCTTTCCTCGGGCCCTGCCTCGGCCTGAAGCCATGTGTCATAGCTGTGCTTGCAGGTAGTAGATCCATGGCCTGGGACTCGGGCCTCCAGCTGCTCCAGTAACTCACGGCGTGACTTTGGATGAGGTATTTCTCTCTTGGCCTGCGCTCCCCTCTCTATGAGAAGGGCAGGGGTACCCCGCAGCCTCCAGAGTCCCTCTCAGTTCTAGCTTTCTGATTTTAGATTCCACACGAGGGTGGATTTAAAGCAGTGTTGTGTTTGGTGGATAAGGAGCTGGTCTCCTTTTTTCCTCTGAGGTATTCCAACAGTGGCTGTTTTTTGGGGGTCCTGCACTGGGACTCCAGCTTACATGAGACTTACGTGGACTTCAGGTCACAGAAGCCACTTTTTGGTGAGTGCCTACCACGTGCCAGGGTCGGTGCTGGATACGACGTGGTGTGACAAAGACCATAAGACAGACTTCCTGCCCCTCTTCAGCTTACTGTAGGAGTTTTTACATACTGGACTGTGTATGTGTATGTGGTGTCCTTGTAGGGATGGGAAAGTATTCGAGGATAAAAAGACTCCTATTTGGATGTGGAGAATGGCCTCATAGAAGAACAGCGTCCTTCTGATTCGAGGTAGTCATTTAGCAATAGGTGGAGTGTTTGATGGGTAGACATGGAGAAATGGACCTTCTAAGTGGAAGGCACTGGCCCTAAGGATGGAAACCATAGAGTGCGTTTGAGAAATAATTTGACCAGCATTTGCCTTACTACTGGAGGGTAGCGAAAGACGAGCTGAGATCAGGCAAGCGGAGCCTGTGTCGTGGGGTCGTAGGCTCAGGAGTCGTATTGAATTCTCTCGACCCTGGGAGGGGCATCGAAGGCCTTTGGTTGTGCAGGCGGTATGAGTGGAATTTGATTTTGGGAATCTCAAACTGGTTGGGGCTGTAGAATGAATTAGATCAGGGAGAGACCGGAAGCAGGAAAATCAATTTAAGGAGCTATTGCAGTGATTGTGCGGGAGAGGGTTTGAGTCAGAACGGTGACACTGGGGAAGGAAAAGAGAGAATGAACTCACGAGAACTTTTTAAAATGGAAAAATGGATCCATGTGTTGGATAAAAGATCCAGGAACAGGTGATGCTATTGAAGATTCAAGTATGAAAGAGATACCCACACTCGAAGAAGGAAGTAGACGTGAGCAGTGAAGGTTATTCAGAACCATCTTGTGCACGGTCACACAGAGTGTCGCAAAGCTGAAGCTCATCTCCTGGCCCCCGATTTAGTGTGCACCCACCACATCATGTGAGGTGCTTGAAGGTGCTGAGTCAGGCGCCTCAGTGATGGACAGAGTTAGTATGGAGAAGGTAAAGGACTGTCTCTTTCATAAACGGGAATGCAGTACTAGTCTGGGATCTTCTGCCATTTTCTTTTGCACACTTTTGTTTTCTTCCTATTTCATCTATTCTGTGCCAGGGTTCCTGTGCAGGAAAGAGTTAACATAACGGGGCTGAAACAGCTGTGCTTACACAGGTCTGCTTATGGGAGCAGCTCTTGGCTGGTGTCTGGGAACTTGGCTGGTGTGCTTTATGCTGAACGCCTCATTCTTTTCTGGACTTTTGGGATGTGTTCAGCTGATGGTGTCTGTGTATGCCCCCCAATAAAAACGTGGGCCATCCCATCTCAGATGAGTTTCCTTGGTAGGCATCCTCTCGCAAGTTTGTCATAAATTCTTTTGCTGGAGGATTTAAACATGTCCTGCACCTTTCCTCTTGGCCGATTTTGCTTTGTATTCTTTCACTAAAATAAATCTTAGCCGTGGGTATGACTGTATGCTGAGTCCTGTGGTCCTAGAGAATGACCAACTCTGGGGGTCTGGAACCGGAGACACTGTGTCAACTTCACTCCTTTGGTGGCATCTGCAATGAAAGCTTCTGCAGTGTCCTAGCGGTTGGGTGCTGTATGTGGCTGTCCTTCGCGACTTCCTTAATGAGCAAGGAGGCAGCCTTTGGACTTGTTCGATGAATAATAAGCTGGGGGACCTTGGGTCGGTCACTTGTTTTCGTATTGAGACTTTATTTTTAGAGCACTTTTAGGTTTAAAACTTGAATGGTAAGTAGAGTTCCCATATGTACCTGACCCCCACACATACACTTTCCCGTGTCATCAATATTTGCTTTACTGTAGTATGCTTGATACAGCCAATGAGCCAATGTGTCATACATTCTGTGGCTTTTGACCGAATCCACCATTACACTCTCATACAGAATAACTTCACTGCCCTAAAAATCCCTGGGCGCCACCTCGTCATCCCTCCCTCCTCCTGCACTCCCAACCCCCTGACCTTCTTATGGCTCCACGTTTTTGCCTGTTCCTCAATGTCATGTAGTTGAAATTATACAGTGTGTAGCCTTTCAGATTGGCTTCTTTCACTTACTAATATGCATTTAAGAATTCCTCTGTGTCTTTTCGTGGCTTGGCACCTCACTTCCTCTTAGTGCTGAATAATATTCCGTTGTATGGATGGACCACGGTTTGTTAATCCATTCACCTACTAAAAGACATTCTGACTTCCTCCAGATTTTGTCAATTATTAATAAATCTGCTGTAAACATTTGCGTGCAGGTTTTAGTGCATATAATGTTTCATATCATTTGGATAAATACCAAAGAATGCAATTGCTGGATGTCACCATAAGATGATATTTACTTTTGTAAGAAACTGCCAAAATACCTTCAAAAGTGGCTGTGCCGTTTTTCATTCCTACACAAATGAATGAGAGTTCCCGTTGCTTCATATCCTTGCCAGCATTTGGTGTTGTCCGAGGTTTGGATTTCAGCCATTCTAATAAGTGCATAGTGATATCTCATTACTGCTCTAATTTGCATTTCCCTAATGATATATGATGTGTAACATCTTTTCATATGCTTATTTGCCATCTGTAGGTCTTCTTTGATCGGGTGTCCAAATTCTTTGCCCATTTTTAATAGGGATTTTTGTTTTCTTATTGTTATGTTTTAAGAGCTGTTTGTATATTTTAGATACCATTGTCATATCACACTGGTCCCCAAGCTTTGTGGCACCAGGGACTGGTGCTCCTATGAGAATGTAACACCTGATGATCTGAGGCGGAGCTGAGGTGGTGATGCTGGCGCTGGGGGGCGGCTGCAAACACAGATGCAGCTTTGCTGCTCGCCTGCCGCTCGCCAGCCGCTCACCTCCTGCTGTGCGGCCCAGTTCCTCACAGGCCACGGACTGGTTCTAGTCAGCAGCCCGGGGGTTGGGGACCTTTGCCATATCAGATGAGTGTTTTACAAAGATTTTCTCCGAATCCGTGGCTTGCCTTTTCATTCTTTTAACAAAGCTTTTCACAGAGCAGAAGTTTTTAATTATAATGAAATCCAACTTATGAATTTTTTCTTCTATGGGTAATGCTTTTGATTTTTTAAATGTTATTCTTTAAAAATTTAAGTATAGTTGCTATACTATATTATGTTAATTATATTAGTTTCATATGTACAAGATAGGGATTTGACATTTTTATACCTTACAGTACGATTACCCTAGTAATTCTAGGGTGCAAACTTATCACAATATTATTGACTATATAAAAGCTATATTATTTAGCTTTTTTACCCATCCACTATTCCACCTCTGGTAACTGTCCCTGTGGTCCCTGTTTCTATGGGTCCATTTCTCTTTTGTTTATTAATTTTGTTTCTTTTTTATCTTCTACATGTAAGTGAAACCATATGGTATTTGTCTCTGTCTGACTTATGTCACTTAGCAAAATACCATCTGGGTCCATCCATGTCATCCCAAATGGCAAGACTTCATTAATTTTTATTGCTGGGAAGCCCTGTGTGTGGGTACTGCAAAGTCTTGCCAGCTCCGTGCTTTCTTGGGGTGGGCCATCCCCACGTGTGCATGCTCCCAACTCTCTCTGATGGGACAGTGTTGTGTGCAGGAACCGCCATGTGTTGCTAGCTCCACGCTCTCTCCAAGCAAGTGAGTCCTGCATCCCTGTGCAGCCCAGGTGGCGAAGCAGCACCCTGCCATCCCTCTCCAGGTGGAGGCTCCCCTTGTTCACAGTCTATGGTGTCCTCCTGTTCCTGCTGGATCTGCCAGGAGGGGTGGGTAGGGTTGGGGGGGATGCACCATAGCGCCCTGCAGGTTGGCCAGAGAGCCTGGGTGGAGCTTCTGCTCTCTATCCACAGGCTGGGGACATGTAAACGATGGCACTTACTGGTTCCCCGGTTCTGGGTCGTTCCCTCAGCTCTCACAGAGCTCTCGCAGTTCCTCAACCTTCTCTATGTGGTCTTCTCCCTGTCTTGCTCGTTGTGCAGAAGCCGTTTGATTGGATTACTCTTGTCTTTTAGGAGGAATTGCTGTAAACGTAGCTGTGCATTGGATGTGTTCTTGGGAGGGTTTGAGCTCAGTGGCCAGCTATGCCACCATCTTGGACCTGCTAGAGATTCTTCCTAAATAAAGTCTGGTATTGGCTATAGCGACAGGCTTCTGCTTCTGGCCTTCTACTCTGATATGCTCTGATTCTCCATATTCAAGTGTCTATCCAATTTTGGAGGCATCGGTTTTCCCTCGGCCTTCAATTTTCTGTTGGATCTAAGAGGAATTGTTGGTTTTCACCTTGGTCAGCTTTTTTCTTGTGTGGACATGGCCACGATAATATCCATGCTTCTTACTTGTAGGGCCCGAAACTGAAGTCTTGCATCAGTCATTTTTTATCTCTTGGCTTCAAGTTTCCATCTGTAAAATAAACAGATAAGATCACTACTTGGTGGCTCAATTGTCCTGTAGCTCCAACATTCTATTGAGTCCATAAGCACGGACTTGCAAGAATGACTAGGCAGATTTGTGACACTTGATACTCTTCTTCTACAGGCAGACCTGCAGGTGGACAAGGAGAGGCACAACTTTTTCGAGTCGTCCCTCGATTATGTTTATCAAATCCAGGAAGTTCAGGAGTCTAAGAAGTTCAATATTGTAGAGCCGGTAAGTTCTATCTGTTGATGAACGGTCTAGAAATATCTACTGAACGCCTAGAAAAGGTGAGCGACTTTGGTCATAAAATCGGGATCTCGAAGAATGTGAAAGGTAATTGTAATAATGAGTCTCAAGAAAGTAGACGCACCGGCTCATGTCGTTTCTCTTTACCTTTCCCGTGTCTTTCCTTCCTCCATTTTTTCTCTCTAGCTGTGCTCTTTCTTTGTTTCTCTTTCTTTTCTTCCTCTCTTCTACCTTCCCTCCCTCAGTTTCTCTGTTACCCTAACTTTTACCTCATTCTCTTTTTCTTCCTCCTAAGCCTGTGAAAATATCGTATACCGGGCACTGTGTGTGAATGCATGTCCCTTGCACCCCATTCTAACGTTTTTACTTCTATCTACTTTATTTTTTTCTACTTAAATCTGTGATTTATTATAAATGATGATGAGCTTTGGTTTGACAGCTCTGTTGAATTCTAACAACTTTCTTTTTATTATGAAAATGTATTGTTATTGCAGAAAAGCTAGAAAAAAATTCTAGGAAAAACCAAACAGAACAACAAATCCCCCATACGGAATGAATTACTGTTAATATTGTAGCATTTTCTTTTTATAGTGCCTGTGTATCTATTATATTTACTTCTTTATCTGCGTTTACCTATGTGCTTGGAAATGCGGGTGTGTATACCTGTGTGTGTGCGTGTGTGCACATGTATATATATTTCACGTGAGCACATATATCTGTGTACCAGTGTATCGATGCTCACATTTGTACATATCTGTTTGTGTACATATGCAAACAAGTATTTATGATGTGCCACGCACTGCATTAAACACGGAGTGTCCTGCAGTGAGCAAGACAGACTCATTTCTGCGTTTCTGCATGCTACGTTCTCATGGGGTAGACGGAAGGGAAGGGAGGATATACATAAATAAAATAATTGTAAGTCGTGATGATGGCTCAAACAAAGAACAAGAAATGGCAGCTCTTTTAGATCAAGCAGTCAGGGATCTCCTCTGGAAGTGTCATTTAAGATCTAACGAAAGAGAAGGTGAGGCGATGGGAACAATGGGGAAAGAACATTCCAGGCGCAAGAAAGGCACACGTGCGCAGTGTCTAAGTGAGGGGAAAGCATAGTGCGCTCAAGGAGTGAAAAGACGAGCGCCTTGAGATGCTGGCGAAATCAAAGGAGAATGGCAGCGGGTAGTGGCGGGAAGGAAGGCATATGACATGTAGGCAACGGTAAGGGGCTTGCGTTTTACTCCGGGTGCAGTGGGAAACCTCTGGCGGGTGCTAATAAACAGGATATGACATGAGTTGCTTTTATTTTATGGAGATCGGCTCGGAAGAGGCCAGCGTCGGTAGTGAGGAAACCAGTTAGGTCGGTTTGGGTCGTGGTCGTGGAAATAGAAAGGAAGGACTGGGTTAGAGCTCTGTTTTAGAAGCGAAACCCACAGGAATCACTGATGGGTTGGATTGCTCTGTGAGTGAAAGGGGGAATCAGGTACGATTCTTCACTTTGCTGTTTCCTGATTAGTTTTTATATGTGTTTCTGTATGTGTACACATGTAGGTTGTGTTTATATGTACACACGCGTGTGTGCATGGTGCGTGCTGGCATATTTATATGTGCTCACCTGTTTACTTTCTAAAATAGTAGAGCAGTTTTTACTACATTTTATCTTCCACTGTTGCCGGCACTGAGCAATATTTTTTCAGTGTTTGTATTTGCTAGGTGAATGTCCTGTTTTCCTTCGTTTTTATTGAGGTGTATTTGATTTTTAATGGAGTTGAACATTTCGAATGCTAAAAATATTTTATCGATTATTTGTATGTCTTCTTCTGCAACCCCCTGAGAATATTCGTAATTTGAAATCAGGGTCAGGCACCTTGGACCTTTTAGCATTATGGCAGTCTTCATAGAGAGAGGCACATAGTCTTACTTTATTCATTTATCCATTTAGCTATCTAGTCATTCAGCAGATACTTAACTGCGTACCTACTTTGTGCCGGTTTTAAGGGTTTAAAGAGAAAAGACACAGTCTATCCTCGTACTGTCCAAATTATGAATGGTTTCATAGGTTATCGAAAAAGGATCTGAATGAATGAATGTGTTAGTAGTTCTTATTTTCTAGAACCTAGTTCAGGTTAAATGTTTAACCTAATAAGAGAATAGCTATGTGTAGACATGTGTGTGTTTGCATGACTGCTTTTAGGACTATCCTTGGTGAACACTATGTGGAGTTACTTTTCTGTGCTTCCGTTGCCTAGATTCGATCAATGAGCGGGTGCTCGTGATAAAGTTGTTTTTACACGTTTTCCCTAGGTCTTGGCCTTTCTTCACAGCCTCTTCATTTCCAACAGCTTGACTGTGGAGCTCACACAGGATTTCCTCCCATACAAACAACAGCTCCAGCTCAGCTTGCAGAATGTAAGTTTGCATGCGGGGTTCGCCCCTGTCTGTGCATTCTAATTGGATTTAAGCCCTGATGATCTTGACCTTAGAGTTCTAGGTTATGGCACCCCAGCCAATTTGTCAGGACACGGTTTGTGTGGATCACAAATATTTCCGTGCACTGGGCTCTTCTTGCTGTTCCGTATTAGCTCTTTTCTGCACTTCAGCCTATCGTTCAAATCCACCCTTCCACCCACTGACACCTCTGTCTATCCAATATTTATTACGTGTGGCAAATTTTCTGAATCGCTCCCAGATCAGAACCCAGCTATGGACTCTTTGAAACAC